CAAGTACAACCCATACAAACATGGAACCAAATACAACATTACGTAAATCTCTAAAATTATTAACCGAAGTTGATTCCTTGTGCTAGAGGTAACTCATTCCCATAGTTGATCGTACTGTGAAAGAAAAACAAACCGATTCAATAACCAAAAAACTTAAACCGGAAATTTTGGAAAAGAAGAGAGCATTTTGAGATTTTTACCAAGTGGATCGACGCATGTACTGTTTCCATGAGTCACTTCCGGCTTCACGACCACCACCGGTCGCCTTTTCGCCACCAAAAGCTCCTCCGATCTCAGCTCCATTCGTCGGTATGTTCACATTCACAATCCCACAATCACTTCCCATTGGTCTAATAGTAAAAACCATCACAGACTCCCAGTGAAAAAGAGGTTTTCAGTAAACTAAACCGGAAAAGATGAGAGAAATTCGGGTGTTTTTGTAGCGCTTACCCGATCCATTTGAAGATGTTTTCGGGTTTACGAGTGAATATCGAGCTGCTTAGACCTTGAGGAACCGAGTTGTTTATCGCAACAGCTTCTTCGAATGACTGTCCAGAAGAAAATGACTTTTAAACAAACTTTCTTAAAGTCGATTTCTGAAGAAATTTTGATGATTTTAGAGACATTTTACCTTAAACTTTAGAACATATAGAACCGGAGCAAATAGCTCTTCTTTAACAACATTAGCATCTGCTGATATCTCGATTATCGTAGGCTCCACAAAGTTTCCTTCACCTTCGATTGCTTTACCGCCTGTTAGTATTTTACCGCCCTGTAAATGCAAAAAGGTTTGAACTCTTTTAACTGTTCTTGATTACGCAAACAGAGCATAAAAAAGTGAGGTACTTACCTGGGATTTGATAACTTCGATTCCTTTCTCAAAGTTCTTCTTTGATACAGGTGTGTGTAGCGATCCTTACAATGTCCCTTTTTCAAGAGGATCACCGATTTTGACTTGTTTGTATGAAGTAAGTAGTTGCTCGAGTACTTTATCATAGACACTCTCATGCAACAGCTTTAAGAAAATAAAAGAACATTTCAAGTGTTAAGAAAAAGAACAGTACAAGCAACGAAAGCGCTATGATGAGGTTTAGATTATTGTACCAGCCTACGGCAAGTTGTGCAACGCTGACCAGCGGTTCCAACCGCAGCAAACAGAACCGAACGAGCAGCTAACTGTATATCAGCATCGTCCATGACTATGATTGCATTGTTTCCACTCAATTCAAGCAGCGTTTTGCCGGATCTCGCACTCACAGTTTGTTGTACCATTAAGCCCACCTATGCATAATCGAAATATTTAAGTAACAAGTACGCTCAATGTGTTTGGATGGGTGGTGACAGATTATAGTAGAAGAAAGTACCTTAGAGCTTCCAGTAAAGGATACTAAGGGAATGCGTGTGTCTTTGGCAATTGCTTCACCAATTTCAGCACCACCACACATAGCAGTAAAAATGGCACCGGGTAAATTGTTCTTCTCTAAAACTTCAGCTACTAGCTTGGTCATTGCGATAGTTATTAACGGTGTAGTTGGAGCACCTTTCCTGTGGAACCACATGTATTAATTATACAGATTAGGCCAAAAGGAACGGTAATAAACGTCGCTTAGTTGTCATCATCAAGACTAATCTAATCTCCCTCCAAAGACTAATATCATCACTGCAACAACAACATTGAGTTATAGTTAAGGAATCGACATAGGTAGCAATTGTAGACTTTAAATATCGATAACACAGCTTCTTGTAGTAAGGAATTGCTAGGTAATCCACAAAGCTCGGATTAAGTGCAAGGTTGTTACTTACCATACTACACAGTTTCCGCAAACCAGTGCAATACAAGCATTCCAACCTGCAAATACCACAACATTGTCCATAAAGTTTATAGAACGGAATGAATAATCACAAACTTCCATATTGCATTATCAGTTATTGTAGTTCTCAATTATAGCTAAGATCATAAGGAGCTTAATCTATTTCTGTTCTGTCCACTTTCATTAGCTGGTAAGATGGTTTACAGTTTTATATCGTTCCTCTGTTCTGTGAGGCACGCTCATCAAGATTTGAAATTGGAGACAAGACTTACCAAGAACTGCAGATGGAAACTTAAACGCTGTGATAACACCAACAATTCCAAGAGGATTCCACATCTGCGTTAAAAAATATCCAAGCATAATGTTAATCATGTCCTAAGAAAAGTATACTACACAACTCCAACGAAAGAAACTCGCAATTCATAGACAATTCACCTCCAACATCATGTGATTTGGGCCTGCAACAAGAAACGGTATGAGTTCAGAGACCAAGATATATAACTTATTTAGAAGAATATTTGTTGTATTAACTTCATAGAAATTTGACGCTAGAAGCCAGAACTCACGTTCTGAAGGTATGACCGATCCATTAAGTTGTCGGCTCAAACCCACAGCAAAATCACACATGTCAATGACTTCCCGCAAAAGTTGCGCTCAACGCGTTACTTTAAGCTATATAACAAAAGCAGCTGTTCAATCTTATGCTAATATATGCACGAATATGTTCCCTCTTTGTGAAAAAAGTATTGCTAGTAGCTACAGTATATGTATCAATGAAAAGAAACTAAGTTCCACCGAGTCACGATACCTGAACTTCACCAATTCCTTCAGCAAGAATCTTTCCCATTTCAAGCGAAAGAAGAGGACCAAGATAGTCAAGTTTAGATCTTAATGCATCTCCAATTTGTCTCACAATATCACCTCTCTTTGGAGCAGGAACCTGATCAAAGATATTTCGTTAGTTACAATGTGCAATTTGCCTCATAAAAAAAAAAGCAAATTTCACTTTGTAACTTACCTGCATCCATATTTTCGCCGCTTCCTCACAAGCTTTCAAACCTATCTCGTAATCTTCCAAAGAAGCTTCCACAACTTCCCCTATTGGCTGCATCATTCAAATTAACCATCTTAATATACAAGAACAACAAAAGGTGACCTTTTTTTTTTAAGCACAATAGAGTCTCTAATAAACCCATCCAATATCATCAAAACAACATTAAACCAAATTCAATCCACAAACTTAGAAAGATTTCATTACTATCCACAAATTTTTCAGACATATGTTCCAAATCATGTAAGAACCCCGAACCTGATTGTTTGCTGGATTCAAAGTAGACACAACTGGTCCGTTTCCTTGCCATTTGCCACCAACGTAACATCCCAAATTGTGAGAACTCAATCCAATCTCACTCAGACTCATACTCTTTGTGCAAAATTCAACCCCAGAAAAAAAAACATCAAAATCCGAACTTCACTCCACAATAAAAAAATGATCAAACCAGAGTACATGGATCAAATTAACACATATCAAACATTGATTAAAAGTAAAATCAACAATCAAAAACTCAAAAAAAAATCGAACTTGATCTGAGAAATCACCTAGTTATTGGGTTGTCTCAAAGATTGGATTTTTCGATTATAGTTTTGATCACGAGATCATTAAAAG